GAAAATGTATGTATAATATAATAAAATACTAAATAGTAATAATAAATAAATGAAAAATAAATATACATATAATATTAACTAAAAAAGTAGTAATCATAGAAATATAAAATAAAATAAAGTAAGAATATATATATATAACGTTAGGAAAATATAGTAAAAAAACATATTAAATAAGTAAATATAGATAAAAAATAATATAATATATATATATAATTATAGGAAAATAATATAATATAACGCAAAGAAAAATGAAAAAAATTATAATAAATAAATAAATAAAATATAATTAAATATATCATATACATATAAATAATAAGGGTTAAATTAAAATAAAAAATGAATTAGAAATCAAAATTAAAAGCCAATCGAAGAAAAAAATGACAAAACACGCGGATCCACACGTCCCGTTTATAAAAATCCGAATAGTTTTTCAAAAACACAAGCCTCGGGGACTAGATCTACAAAAATAGATCTCGAAAACACCCCCGTTCATCGGCCAAAAACACTTCTCTCAGTTTTGTTTCGAAATCAAAACACAACAAGGGTAAGGAAAAAATAACATGCGAAGGTATGAACTTTACCTTTCAAAATATAAATGCTTCGAAAAATGGCTACGAGTTGCTTGTAATTTTTTGCTTGGTATTTCGTATATCCTCCTCCGAATGTGTTATAACAGTGAGTTACAATGACTATTTATAATGCTTGTGGATCCTATCTTTAGGAGTTTAAATAATAGTATAACTCTATCCTATTGTTAAGAGTTTGAATCCTAGTAGGACGAAAAATGTGGATTAGGAGTCGCCACCGATCATTTATTTAAAAATAAATGGGTTGATCGGATACCCTATTTCTTACATGATCTGCATCTTACCAGAAATATGTCAGGTTCGGGAGTCGGTTACGGTCAAGGAATGATTAACACCCTTAAACCGCCCTTTCGATACTATGTAATTTCCCGTTGTCTTAATTAAGAAAATTGTAATTTTAAATTAAAAGGTAAAATTTGATAATGAATTACTTACCTCTGATTAATTGATGAAAATATCCTTAAAAAGTCATAAGATGTGTTAGAGGGAAAAAATGAATAAATGAAAAAAATGAAGAATAAAAATAAGTAAAAAAATAAAATAAAAGAATAAATAAATAAATAAATAAATGAAATATTAAAATACATATATATATATATATATGAGTAAATAGAAAAATAATAATCATAACAATAATGATAGTAATATGAAAATATAATATAATATAAACAAATAAAAAAACCAAAAACAAAAATAAATAAATATATAAACCAAATATAAAAGTATACAAACATACATATATACGTATAATGATAAAGTAAAAAAAAAATTAAATAAAGATAATTACAATATATATATAGTAATAATACGCTTATAAGTAAAATATTTAAATAAAATATATATATATATATATATAATAAATATAGTATTAAAAAATAACCAAATGAATATAAATAAAAAAATATATATGTATATATAATAATATATAATGTAAAAAAATCAATTGAAAATCATTTAAAAAAACATACGTATATATATTTATATAATGACAATAATGTAAATAATAAATAAATAAAAATATCTATACAATAAATAAAAGGACTAATATAAAGAAAAATAAAAATTGGGGCCAAATTTGAAAGCAATTAACGTCGATATTGCGCATTAGGGGGATAAAAATGAACACGCCTCGGGGTAGATCTAGGTTCAAAACTTCGAAACCCCACCTATTTTTGGTCGTCGGCGCAACCCACGTTTTGGATTATTCGAACCAAATCTCAAGAAAAATAACGTGCACATGCGAGAAATGAATGAATCAAAAAAAATGCTACCTTTTATTTCTTTTTCAAATCGTTTACAATAGTTTTACTTTTGTACTTTCCGTGCTTTCCTCTGTATTTTGTCTGTAAATCTTGTGTTACAATAGTGAGTTATAATGGCTATTTATAGTGCTTGTGAGTCCTATCTTTAGGAGTTTAAATCATAGTAGAACTCTATCCTATTTTTAGGAGTTTGAATCCTAGCAAAATTATATCTAACTTTTAGGAGTTTGAATCTTAGTAGGACGAAAAGGTGTGTTGACAATATATATTATAAATAAGTTAATATTTTGTCCAAAGATTAATATTGATGGAGTATACCTTTATTCAACTTTAATTCAAATAAATAAACAATATTATGGTTAATATTATTGTCTAAAAACGTAATATTAATGTTGTGTTTGATATCTCGAGAAGTAACTGTTATTTTGAATTATTATTATTATTTTTGATTTATTTTTATTTATGAATATTGACATGAACTTATTTGTATTTTATATTCAGTTAGTTCATCTTTTGTCGTCACAATATCTACTAATATTAATTCTATACGTATGCTTAATTGGACTAATTTTGAGGAATAAAAAAGAACTTTATTTATAGTTCTTGGTTGTATGGGCATAAACCTTGCACTAAAGGAAGAACAACATGTATCTCTCGTTATGACAAGCATCCTTAATGGTAAAAGAGATTTGTATAAATCTAATAATCATGAAGAACGTCATTTCAAAAGCTTTAGGGAAACAACACCGAGATTCTTTAGAATAAGAATTTCTTTGAAGAAATTGAAAAATATTTTATCAAAAACGCTAAGGTTGAACTACTAAGCGATCTAGGAGTTATAAGATTTATAATTCCACGATTAAGAATATTTTTTTAGATTAGAACTGTAACATTTTTTTATGATGTTAAATTTGAGGAGAAAAACAAGGTTAGAGCCATTACTTTTGGGAATGAATTAAACTTTAACTTAGTTGCTACTATCACTTTTGATGATTGGTCAGAAAAGTGATTATAGAACTTTAAAAAGACAATATTAAAGATTAGATAATTGTTTAGAGAACAAACTCAATAATTTCAAGAACAAGTATCATTAAGGAGGTCTATGAGAGATTAAAAAAACATTATTTTAGATAATTACATTGTATTTTTTAAAAGAAATGATGATGATAATGAATTAGTAAAAGATGATTCAATTAATTTTCGCCAAATCATTTCGAATTCTATATCAGTTTTGTTTACCGTTAAAGTGCATGCATTTGATTTTGATACATGGAATAACAAGGAAATGATAATAAGAATCGTTATAAGTAGAGTAATATCCGGCCTAACTGGTAACCTTGACCAATCATTTCAAATTGGTTAGTTGTATTGAACTGGACTGAAGCTATTGGCTCGTACCGTTGGTGAAGTAGTCACTTGTGATTGCTTTTTTCTTTACTAGAGGCGGTTGGTAGGGATAGACCGAGAGATAAATAGAGACAGTCGTTCCTTTAAATTTAAAATTATCATATATTTTAGATTTTTCTATGTATTTTATATTAAAAATATTTTTTCATTCCCTAAAATTTTATAGATGTGCATCCTAAAATTTTAAAGTTTCACTCTCCCTACCGGTTGCATTGTAAAGTGGTTCACTAAAAAACGAAGTAGTTGATTACACATAGCCAACAAAAAATACCCTGATTTGAACAAGCACTTTATTGGGTGGTGGTTGTTGGCAGATTTCAGAAATAGTGGGATGGATGAAGTGGCTAAATGGCAAGCTTTTGACGGTTTTACAGAGTCGTTGGGATGATTACATATGGTGGAATACTTTGATGTATGATGGGACTTAAACGAGAAGTAGATAATTTATTCTTAAATCAAAGTGTTACTATTATAAAATTGTCTCTTCTCATAGTGCCACTTCCATTATTTCGGTAGCTTGGTTCTCAAGTTTCAGTATAAACTGCATTCAGATTCCAGGGCCAGGTTCAGTTGAGTGTTCTTGGATTTGTTCAGATAAAAGAAAAAATGGCAGCTGCATTGAAACTTATGTGTGTTATGGGGTTGATTGTGCTTGTTAGCATTTTGGAGATGGGGAAAGTTAACGCAACAGGGGAATGTCGGAAATCATCTCCTGATAATGAGGCAATGAAGCTAGCCCGTGTGCCGAAGCCGCACAAGACGTGAAAGCTCCTGTTTCAGCCGCTTGCTGTGCACAGATAAAGAACATGGGCCAAAATCCGAGCTGTCTCTGCGCCGTTTTGCCATCCAACACCGCTAAAGTATCCGGAATTAAGCTCGAGAACGCCATAACCATCCCTAAACGCTGCAACTTCGCCAACCGTCCAGATCAGTTACAAATGCGGACGTGAGTCATGATTTTTCATTGTTCCTTATTTTTTTACACTTCCATTTCCATGTTCTTACACCGCAACTGTTTGTTTTGCAGCTTATACACTTCCTTGAAGTGAAAATTTGGGGACTGGAAAACGGATGCTGGAGCACACTTGTACTACTGAATATGCAGCTTAAGCTTACCTTTGTATGAATAAAAGCTTAAAGCCTTGTTTATGTTATTATATCCAACAATGAATAATAATTTTCAGACAAAACTATTGGATAATTTTCAAGATAATTGCGGTATGTGGGCCGTAGCAATTGAAGGTTGTCTTTAACTTTTTATGGTGCGTCATCTTCAGAGACAATCTGTGAGTGTTCATGAAGCGGAAAGGTGGGGCTTTCAGTGTTACCGGTAACCTCAAAGACAGTTTTAAAGGAAAGAAATGTTCTGTCCGCTTCATACTTTGACTTGTTCAAAGCAAAAACTAAAAATGGGTTTATTTCATGTCCTTGGGATTGTAAATGAAGAGTCTAAAGAAGCTAAGAAAATCATGACAAGACTTGGAACAAGATAAAGGATTTTTCCTATCCAAACATAAAGCAAATTCTCATGTTGGCTAAAGGCTAAAAGAAGAAAAGAATCCATCCATGGATTCTATGATATTATCAAGTCACTTAAGCACATATCATGTTCCATTATCCTTTACAGTAAACAAAGGTAAAAACAACATATATCTGTTTGGCTCGAGAAAGTAATATCGGTATACTGGCTGCGACGTTTTAATAACTAATGTCCACCTCCCACATGTATAACCAGAGATTGATTAAACCGTTATCTATATGTTCCTATGTACCTGCTAAGGATAAATTCAACAAACAAAGATGCAGTATCATAAAAAAAAAAAGATAAAGGGAATATGGTGAAGTCATGTTAAGTGTTTTGCATATTATTCGATTGATCAAACTTTATGAAAAAACAGTATTATTCGTGATATGATTGATATAAAACTCAAGTGACAATGGATATCAGACTAATGGTACCTTGATATGAGTATGTTGAAAGACAAACAAACTCTTGGTAATATAGAGACCCTGCAGAAAGAAAATATAGCAAAAGATTAACAAAGATGTCAACCTTACAGTTAAAGAGTTCTCCACTATGCTCAATATATCCCATCAGACAATTTCATACCTTTCCACCAGTTCCTCTTGTTGCACTCCCCGAATCATCTTCTCCGCCATATTTCTTGTACTAGGATGAAAAGTAAACATGTTAGCAGATTCCTAAATCGAAAGACTCGTCAAACTAAAGAACGTTCTCAACACGTGATGCCTATAGGATAAGTAGGTGTACTCACCACAGAGTTCAACCCAGAGCCCTGGCTCTGGGGACTAGGGTACATCTTGCCCGCCATAGATGATCGACGAACTTAAAGGACACGGTTGCACTCTCTGCTCCTAATACATGTAACTCCCGTCTTGTACATTCTGATTTTCACCTTCATGTCCTCCCGAAGAAACACCTAATGATTTACAGTGTCTCAGATGCAAAACTGAGAATTCAAGAACTACTTGGTGTTTCAGAATCGTTGGGGGATAAAAGAACTAATTGTAAAATCAAGCAGTCAGTAAACTTCAGATTATCACTATACAAATTAAAACCAAGAACTACAAAAACAGTGGTCTTGTTTGGGTCTAATGTTCAACAAAAAACGAACCAACATATGATATAATAAAATTGAGTCAAATAAATTCCCAGTCATGTAAAAGCTAAGACTGATGCACAAACCAGAGGCTCCAGGATTTGTGTTCAAGGGCTCATTTGGAGAATGATGGCTTCTGGTCCCAGCAGGACGTAGAGACTCCCTTCCTAGCACCTAAATACCAGCTTGGAGAAATTAGAACTTGCTTGAACAAAATATAACAAGATTGACACAAAAAAGATGCACAAAGAGACTAGTGGTTCTTAATAATAGAGAGCTTGCATTCATTTGAGAAAGAAGAAACCATGGAAAAAGAAACGAGAAAAGATTCAATCGCTTGACAGTCTTGTTTTTCACCTTCAAAATCGTTCGATCACTGTCTTAACACAATCTCAAGTTTGTAATTCACTACCATCAGTGAAGCTCTTGTCATTAAAACAAACAACTTTAGAACAATAGTTTCTTGAACCGTCTCAGATTACCCAATTGAAAAAAAGATTCAATCTTTGAAACTTCACGGACAATGAACAAAAAAGCTTAAAACCCCATTATCAAGAACATGGAATACCAAAGAAATACCTTAGAGGGAGAAGCATATATTGAGCCGAAAATCCAAGTGGAAGGTGACGGAGAATCTTTTGAACCAAAGAGCTCTGAAGTAAAGGAAGACGACCCCACGTTTTCCTTCCCTCCATTCTTTGTTCTCAACAAATTACAACTACTGATCCTAATCAAATCTTATAAGCCTATTAATCCTTGTTTAGTATCCAACAAAATGAGACACGTATATTTAGAGAGAAAGCACAGTCAAGATAAAAAAAAATCAGAGAAACAAAAAGGAAAAGGGAGAGAATAGAACTTGGAAAGAAAGGAAAGGAGTAAATAATGGGGAAAAGAAAGGAAAGACACGTGAAGGTTGAGCCTTTGTTTTAAGAAAGATATAAATCAAGAGAAAAAAACAACTCATTTTGCGTCATGAACTTGTAAGTTAGTTGTTGCCGACGGCGATCATTGCCTTTAACCTTAAAAATCTGTTTGATGGTATTTGGTGTTTTGAATTTGTTGAGAAAGAACGTGATTTTACTAGCACGAGTAACTCGGTGCATAATAATAATTCCCCGAAGCGTTATGCTTGCACTGACGGTGTGTTCCCTCTGGATTTTAGATGAACCTTCACCCTGTTGAACTCGATTTGACCACCTGACCTGACTTGAGCTGACGAGTGAGTGAGTCAGCCCCACTTTATGAGCTTATCTCATTGTCGTAGCATACACTGACGGGTCTTCTTCAATCCACTTCCACTTTCACTTTCTGTCATTGCTTTATTTGTTGATAATGGATAGGGAGGCGATATTCCCAAAAAAAAAAAAAAAAATAACCCTACATTTATATATTTCCCTCATTTTAGGTTGATCTCACGTCACGTGGGTTAAACGTGTTCACTAAAGTGTTTTGTTAAATGTGTAAAATTTAAATATTAATTTTGTAAATATTTTTAAACTGGTATCTAATATGTAATTAATTTCTGTTAGAGTGATATATGTGTAAAAACGTTAATTTTATCTATTTTTTTGATATTATTTTTAACAACCGTTAATATATTTATTGACTTTTAAAATTATTTGTTTAAAAATATTAAAATAAATTTAATTACAATTGAAATATCAATTAATTATTATTAATTTTTTTAAAAAAATTAAAAAAATAAGTAAAGCTAAAAAATATCTTTATTTAAAATATTCTTTTAATATTAATTTTAAAAAATATTAAAAAAATATTAAATTTTAATTTTATTAAAAATGAATAAACAAATTAATTATTGTTAAATAATAATAATTAATGAATAATAGTTCATTTGATCCTCAATTGTAATTAAAGTTTATTTTAGTCAAGTTTATGATTGTTAAACAGTCGTAAGTGTGGAAAGCTACATGAATCGAATGAAAATTCGATCGTACAAAGTCAATAACTTAAAATTGTCTAATTTATGTCTAAATATCAACTCAATTGTACCACGAATAAACATCCGATCAAAGAGTTGATCTTTTCTACTCAATCTTCACAAAAACGTTTTGTCTAGTCATTAATTATTATTTTTTAACAACAGTTAATAATATTTATTTTTTTTAATAAAATTAAAATTATATAGTTTATTTTTTAAATTAATTTTTTTAAAAAGTGGTGATATTTTTTAGCTTTGCATTATATTTTTGTTGAATTTTATTCATTTTTAATTCATTTTATTGCATTTTTCTTTATTTTTAAAAAAATGAATAATAATTAATGTGATCTCTGAATTGTAATTAAAAGTTTATTTAATATTTTAAACAATTAATTTTAAAATCCAATAAGCTGTCTAATATCAACTCAATTGTACCACGAATAAACATCCGATCAAAGAGTTGATCTTTTCTGCTCAATATTCACAAAAACTGTTTTGTCTCGTCATTAATTATTATTTTTTAACAACAGTTAATAATATTTATTCATTTTTAATAAAATTAAAATTAAATATTTATTTTATATTTTTAAAATTAATATTAGAAAGAATATTTTAAATAAAGATGTGATATTTTTAGCTTTACATTATATTTTTATTGAATTTTATTCATTTTTAATTCATTTTTATTGAATTTTCTTTATTTTTTTTAAAAAGTGAATAATAATGCATTGATCTCCCAATTGTAATTAAAAGTTTATTTTAATATTTTTAAACAATTAATTTTAAAAGTCAATAAACATTATTAACTGTAGTTAAAAATAATATCACAAAAAATAAATAGATAAAGTTGGTTTTTTTACACAAATATCACCCTAACATAAATTAATTAATATTAGGTACCACTTTAAAAATATTTATAAAATTAGCATCCGAATTTTTACACGTTTAACAAGACGCGTTGTAGGGGACGCACCTTACCCCACATGGTGTAAAGTGCGGTGCAGGGGCACACTTTACTACTAAGGATATTATATTGAGAAATATAGCCTGAACGATGATTAAGGGAAATATAGGTGTAGGGTGATTTTAGGGAAAATCGCCGGATAGGGAGAAGTATAGAACTACACTCACAATTCATTATTCATAATATGTTAATCTTGGTAAGCAAAAATATTTTAATATATTATCTAAGATTTTGGGGTAATCATATACAATGTTATCTGATTCCTGGGTTAGTTCATATGAGAAACGAAAATTGCAACATAAGTTTTTGTTTTTATAAAATATAAGGTAAAGTACACAAATGATCCCCTGACAATAAGATATTGTTTTGTTGAGTCTCTTGACTATTAAAAGTTACAAAATGATCTTTCAACTATAGAGAGTTGCTTTGTTGAGTCCCTCAACTATTAAAAGTTACAAAATGATCATACTATTTATTATGTTCTAAACTCGTCATTTTCCATTAAAAACTAACAACAATATAAGTTGGACTTTAATATACTGACTGAGATATGATAATCGTTTGAGATCATGAGATCAAATTTTATCATATATCAGTCAACAGGTTATCGTTCAACTCAGATTGTCATATTAAAAACCAATTAATATTTAGAGCACTCTAGTAGATTGTTAGATTGAAGAAATGACCTGATTCAAACCATATCAATAGTTTGAGACAATGAAAATATTTTAAAATTTAGATACTAATATATAATCTAGACATAATTTGAGGGTATTAAGTGCAATTAACTCTTTAAACTGATTTAATCCCTAAGCCTGGTCCAAAACCAGAAGTATCCCAAGAAAGAATTGCAATATGAAGATATGGCATAAAAGAACCCTATAAATAAATGGGTTAACAAGTATGTGAAAAATGGGCCTCGGGTCTGCTCCAGTATCGGTGGATCCACAATATTACGAGAATGGGCACGTGACTACTTAAAATTTGAATTTTTTCGATCAATTATTTATTTTAATTATAATATCCACTTCAAAATCTTACTTGTGTTCGCATCATTCAAAATTTTATATTGTTAACATATATATATATATATTCACTCTCAAGAATATTTCTAGATCCACGACTACATCTTACCATTAACTAGGCTAAAAGTATAAACTCTTAACTTTTGGTAACTTGAAATGGCTCACGTTAGAAGTGTCTGACTGAAAAGTAGCACATAGGATAAATTACACAATAATCACTAATGTTTGCATATATTTTTATTTTTCCTACTGAAATTTCAAAAGTAACAAATTGATCACTAACATTATTGATTTATAATAAAATGATTACTCCACCGTCATTCCTATTAAATTAATTATGTATCAATGTTAAAAAAAAGGTTAATATTTAATTTTACTCTTAAACTATTAAAACATCAAATAAATCTTTAAACAACAATTTTGTATCTAATTTACCCTAAATTTTTCTAATGAGAGCTAAAAGATGGTGAAAACAAATCCTCCACCAGAAGCCTGCAACACTCAGCTGATCAATGTGTGAGTTTTCTTCATTGAGGTCATGAATGCTTTGAATCTCAGCAACCCGGGGCTAATGATCTTTGTACCATCCATCATCCCACCAATATTTAGTCAAACTAAGAGTTATATGTTAATAAACCGATATGAGAATAAATAAGAAATCTATCATGTTTTGTCATGGAGATGCTTCTAGCTACATTCAAATGGCAGAATCAAGATCCTTACACTTATCTTCAAATTCTCCTAGTTTCATTTCTATAATCAGGCCATACTTCGAGCAACTACGAAAAAAAAAAACGGCTGATAAACCAACCTGACAAGAATGTACACAACTTATCTGGTTAATAAGTAAAAACATGGTGACAAACCCTTCTGTTTGATCTCGCTGGAAGACGGTGAGCTTGAGAGTCGGTGGTAGAAACCCTTTCTTCCACTCAATCATTTCCAACATTTCCTATAGGCTGCTGGCTGCAACTCCTTCACCTAGTAACCTCAAAAGCATGCTACCCCAATTCCCATTACACACTTTAGATTGAAGATAGCAGTCAAAAGAAAACAGAAATTGGATTTCAGTTGCAGCAGGCAGGAGTAAAATATTTAAGGCTGGCACTTCCCAGCAAATCCTACATAATAAACAGCTTAACACAAAATATCATTCATTTGGTTTGGGGGAATAATTCCTTTGGTAACTCCCACCGGGTTTTTTTTGACATCGTATGAGGACAGGACCTTCCTCTGCAACAACCAAGGAGAACAAGAAGTCAAAACATTTAAGAACGGTCTTTCAATTATATATATTCTCTTGTTAAAATAACCGGGAAGGAGTTGAATTATAAGAGTACTCGAACATTATAGACGAATATGCATATGAAGTAGCACTCATGAGAAAAGTTTACATTGATGGGAAGAAAAAGATCGAAAGCATATAGTTTCCTATGCCAATAAATTCGTAACGGAAATAATGTGTGAAAGTGAAATATAAACATAAACTTAAATACTTACAATTGGCTCAAAATCTGGACTACACAAGTTAACGGTGAGGTTTCTCATCAGTAACAAAACCTGCATGGCATAAGAGAAGGTATTACATACAGTAACTCAAACGATTTAGAACAAGACAAATTTTAGGGGGCAAAGGAGTGATAGAGCCCCAGCCCCCAGGCTTCAATGGGTATACTGCTTGTTTCTCAAGGCAGCTTGGGATGTGGTAGAGGAGGATCTTGTAAAAGCTGTGCAACATTTCTTTCAAAAGTCAGAATTAGTCATGCCTTTAACTCTACTGTTGTGGTGTTAGTTCCAACAACAAATAATCTGAATCATGTCAAGGAGTCAGGCTGATTTCCTGCTACTCTGTGGTGTACAAATGCATCACG